TAGGCTGTGATTCTTTTAAGGCGTTAGGCATTGGTAACTTTATTGGCAATAAATCTACGATCCAAATTATAAAACCATTACGTGGGCTGTAGACTAAATTAAACGGAAATTAGTAAAGGTCAAACAATAAAAATATTTCAAAATCAAAATCTTCAATGTTATGTCAAACTAATGAACAAGATGGCCGCCGCGTGGGCTACTGTTTGTATACGATATAGTGGCACAGATTCAATACAAATATTGAACACGTATTAATTACACATGTTACTATGTAATTAAATTACATACACGAGGTTAACCGCAGTATTTTTAAAGATATTTCTTTCTACTATGAACCTTATCGTCAAACGCTTGTGTACTAAAATCAAGTATAAAGAAAGGTTAGATGGATGGATGGATGTTTGTTCGAGTTTGTAGCCTAAACTGCTAAACGGATCTCGATGAAATTTGCCATAGATGTAAAGGATAGAACCTATGTGTTCTTCCAGGCACACTTTTGTTTGTGTTTTAAATTCCACGCGGACAGTCGCGGGTGAAAACACAAATACTTGTTTACGAAATATGATTTTTTGTTCAATATTACATGCAGACAATCCATTTTGTTATATTACTAGCTGTAGCCCGCGACTTCGCCTGCGTAAAATAAAGAAATAAATACATTGCCTATGTTACTCAACTATCATATGTTTTAAAAATTTTAGAAATCGGTTCAGTAGTTTTTGAGTTATTTAAATACATACAAAAATACAAATCTTTTCTCTTTATAATATTGGTATAGGTATAATCTAAAAGTTTAAGGAGCGTGTTGTCAGGACATCCGTTATCTATGGCTGTGAGTCCTGACAGCCGTGATAGATAGGTGGGCTGGGAAAGTGCACAAACAGGATACTCTATCTAACGATAACGACACACATCCTTAAAGTTAAGACATCTTTGGGACCTTTATACTCCACGTTTTTTTTTTATAAAACTTTATAACGACGACAAATTAACTTAAAATTATAACCTTTTTGCTCAAATTCAAAAGATAAAGTAAAATAATTCGCATAGACAATTGTTTTTTTTTTATTTATGTGAGAGAAATATACTTTAGTCGTTAATACTGCCGTAAATTAATAAAGTTGCTTTTATTTTCTTTAAAAAACGGAGACACCAATTTTTATACAGGCATTCCGGCAGAACACGGTAAAGTTTTAGTAGTGCAGTTTCAGACATGTGTGTTGTTGAGTCTGTGGTTTGGCGAGAGTCACTTCTTGACATTTGAAGGCTCACGTCTCGAGCGCAAGTGTCCTACACTCCACTTTCGATGAGTTCACAGACATTTTATCCGCACTTATAATGCATATATTTTAGCATCTATTTCCACTTAGCTAAATGGAAAGGAGCTATTAATTTCTATATTACATCTTAACACCTATTCAAGTAATTTTAGTATTTATTATTGAACTAGCCCTCGTCCGCGACTCCGTCTGTGCAGTATTATAAATACTTAATTAGTCTATGTGTTCTTTAAGACTATGTCGTCTATACCTAATTTCAGTAAGATATTTTCGGCATGGTCTTCTGTTTTACCATACGTATTTTTACAAAGAGAATTTTTTTTTCAAAAATATTCATCAGTCATCTGACCTGAAATAAGAAATAATAAAAAGTCTACAAGTTAATGCAAATCCTCGACAATAATAATTTACGATCGTGGTCGGTAGAGAATTTGCTATTCAATAAATTAATATGCGTATTGCTGCATCTAATTTAACAATTTACAGCACGTTAGTAATAAATCGTGAGTATGACGTATATCCTCTTCCTGCAAGTGCGGAGATCGCATAAGGCTTACCACTTGTCAGTTAATATGACTACAAAGCCTGACAGATGGGCCCGCGTATCGAGTTATACAAAACCATTTGCATGCCGCGGGTTAGGGTTGTAAACCATGCAAAAAGTTCTAACAAAAAAAAAACAAGTACACCTAACGTGAAATTTCTTAAGTACGAATTGCAATTTTTTTTTCATATGTACATTTTCATACAACTAATCTGCACATTTACTACTAGTAATATAATTTCATAGCTATATATAAATTCTGCCAATTTATTACAAACAAATAACTTGTTTGTCACTAAAATAATAAGTAAATCTGAAATGTAACAGTCGGTTGATATTCGTACAACATTATAACATTAACATTACGGGCAACCCTATTCGTAATAAGCATGCAACACTCGCAAGGCGGCATAACGGACGAGTTGTCGCCGACCGCGCCATCGCTTGCGAATATATTGCTAATAATTAAATAACGAAGCTTCTTAAAGGACATGTATGCACGTTTACTACCGGAAAAGGATGTAATGAATCATTGATATTATAATTCACCGTACATGATCGGTTGTTTGCAGAACACACGATTTTTTAAACATTCAAACTTTTTTTTACTCTATATTGTGCCAAAGACACGAGGAATTGACTGACGTAAATGACGAATTGATCGATTCGGAGGACGAAAACCTGTTGTACTGGTGCTTTTAATGATACCACGATTTCTAAATTTTCAAAATAAAGATATTCTTCACAGGTGGATTCTGCAAGTGACTTTTCAGAGAGATTTATCGCTAGTACAACTGGCATGAGATAAAGTATGTTGGGGAATACCAACTGTAAAGATATAAAAATGAAGATATATTTAGGTGTTCTATAAAATTCGTGGACGGCCTTGATTGGCGATCGCCGATCGAGGTGGGTTGAAAAAGTCTGCTTCGATTTAATTTATATCTTTAAATATTAAAGCATATTGATTAAGTATTCACTTTAGACTGCTATTTTAATTTAAATAACGAAAACAAGATTCTTTGTGCATCATAAATGGATACCATGTTGAAGCCGGAATGAGATTTAGGTTCAAAGCTACTTTGGTCTAGTCTAGACAGTCGTATTGAACCTGAATTGTAGTTAACTTTTTTAGTAATTACCGATACTGCTACCGACTATCGTAGGCTACCGTAAGCTGTGTGGTGAGTCGAATCGAATAATAAACGCATTTGTCGAGAATATCTCGGCCAACTGAAACCGTATCGAAGTCAAGTCAGACTTCGTTCGACTCTCGCCTACGTAGCCCATTACCTGCCAACCGCTGCGTGCTTTTAACTTTAATAGCACTTCCTCACTTTCATCATCAAACAAATTCCAACTTTACACTATTACAATAGAGATGAATCTTGTTGTAAAACTCGTTTAATCGTAAAGCTAAAGCCTCGTACGAATCAGTTCGCACAAATGTAGGTGTATTTATGTAGCAATGCATTTCATAACAACGCCCACTGCGTCAAATACACCCACGAAATATAGACCTCTTTTGGGCCAAACTTATCTTAGTAACTGATTTAAGATTAAATCAATTGCGTAAAACGGTTTTATAATGTTTTAAAAACGAAATTATATAGACTAATATTATAAATCTGAAAGTTTAGATGGATGGATGTTTGTTAGAGTTTGTAGCCTAAACGGCTTAACGGATTTCGACGTAATTTGGCATAAATGTAGAGGATAGTCTGGAAGAACACATAGGCTACTCGGTTTTCTTATTTTTTAATGTCACGCGAACGGAGTCGCGGGCGAAAGCTAGTAAGCTATAATTGTGATTGTAGAGAGGTCATAACTTAATACAGTTTTGTAGTGACACCTTATGTAGATAAACATATGGTAAAAAAAGCAATGAGCTCATCAGTGTGTCTTACTTATCGAATGATATTCCTTATGCGTACAAGGTCTTAGGACGTGCCCTTAGTTACCGAGCTCTATAAATAAAACGTTATCCAGAGATCAGATAAAAGTTATTTCAATAAGTAATTTAAGACTTTTTAGGTGAGAGGCTATACAAAATAAATTAATCGCCCAATAGGTATTAGATCAGGATTTTCGATTAATGTCCATCCTTAGATCAGTTCAAAGATGATTGATGAAAAAAACTAAGTAAAAATTTTATTTTAAAATCGATTAAAAGAATACAGTTAATTTTATCTTAATTTCTATAGTATGCAAAGATCTCTATTAATGGACTTGAAACATGGTACTTTCTGCTTTTTTCATTTTCGCCATTTTGCCGCTGACGATTGCAATTGATGATGGGAGAAGTGGCAAGGATTCAAACTAATAATGTAGAAAGAATTAACTACCACTAGGGGGCTTTTAAGTCGAAACGAAGAAAATGTTGTAATTTCCAACAATGACCTATCTATTTCTCAAGATCAGTGATCATATGCCTCATTTCAATTCAAAATTCGAACACTGGCTACATTTCGGTTGAAATAACGTCAATTCTGTGAATTGTTCACGTATAAAACACAACTCTTGTCTTGACTTGTTTAACCTCCAGGTAAATGTACCTTAGATCCTTATCGCAGGGGGTTCTACATTTCTTGAATAACAATAGCTACCGGCCCTTCCCTTCCCTTACGATTCCGTTACTAATAAATATCTTAAAACTATCACCGTATCGCCGATAGGTTATAAAGATTATTTTGTCACTATTGCATTATTATTTTTTAACGCATCTTTATGTTTCTTTGTCTACCCACATGTCCCCATAAATCAATACAATAATTAAATAGAAACCATTCACAATTTAAAGATTGTGCTGGTATGGTGCATAAGAAAAATAAATCAAGAATTAAAATAAAAAAAAAATCGCTATCGAGTGGGTAGTTAAATATTTCAAAGTTTGCGTGTCAATATTCAATTTTGAATTATTCCAACGTTCTAAATTATAGTTAGTATTTTTCTTTGTGCATTGTAAGTTATTAATGTTGCTTTTTTCATTTAATCGGGTAAAAATAATTACTGACTGCGCTCTTGCATGCCGGCGGCGCGCTTTAAATAGAAATTACTATTTTTTGTACTGAATGTACATTGAACAGCAACTCATAGTTATTCGGAAGTTTTTTAATCTATATTTATCTTCATTAGGCCGCTATCAGTCCCTGTAAAAGATAGCGCGTGATTCTCACCTGAGTTTGCCTGCTCTTGTATATCAACATCCAACAACACTCCTTTCTTTTCGAAGAAAGTTTTCACTTTAGCACAGGATGTCTCAGTGTCCGCGGATGACACAACAGCGAATAAACTCGCAACTATCACCAAATACAATATTTGGTTCTTTATACTCGATCCAAAAATCGATTTTTTGTTAGGGGACAGTTTCACACAACAACACACGTTCACAGCCATGTTCACGCGATTTAATTTTAGACTGTTCTAAAATATACTGTACAAGGCGTACCATAAATAAAAATAAAAGTATAGTTAAATTTTCTTTTAACTTAACTTTTCAAATATTATGCACGCCATTCAAAAAAACGCAACAACTCAACTGCGATCCATGACGATCGCAGGACGACTGCCGCCGACTGAAGTGTGCTGAAAGCCGGAAAGTTATAACTTAACTACTATTGTTGCCACTGTAACAAAAAAAGTGATTGTTACTTAGTTCCTTTCGTATTTTGCAGTAAGAAATATATTATTAAGAAATAGATTTGAACGGTTTAAAAACAGTCACCGCTATGAAGTATTTGTTTTGCTTTTGAAGTTATTTAAAAGACAATACTAGCAACACACGGCATTTTGTCCTTTTCTAATCGTACAAATAGAAAGAGATAAATAATAATTTGTCTGAACGTACACAACTGTGAAAATATTTTTCAGTACAGTAGAGTACTAACTAAAATGATGTCCTGCAGATCATGGTTCGCTTAAATGAAACAGATCAATTAACCGGCTCGCAAAACATCTCGGTTTGGACCTGCATTGAGATCTGAGATATAGTTTTTAAGCTACGAGTCATCGGACTGTTTGTAGCTCGTTGGCTCCATAGCTATTAGTTACAGAACATCATGTTAAGCTGACAAAGTTGTGAGTTGTTTACTTGGTGGTTGAGCTACAGCTCAATAGATCAAACTGTGAGCTGACCTGTTAAGTTGTTTAGAGCAGATTTACACACGTCTATTTTTCAGGTCATATTTTGATAATCAACCATCAACTTGTCATAGTATTTACTTCACAATTTAATTTCAACATACACATTTAAAATAGCCTAGCACTGCTATTCGTCGCTTAATGAAGTATTTTATTATTTGATAGCGACCGCTACATGGTGGACGTAAATTGTTAATTCAGAAAACACTATTTTAGTCACGTTTATATAACATTTTGTGTAGTTTCAAAATGAGAATTTATTTGTTACAAAGTGTATCAAAAACGATCGGAAGGAGATTTTTAGCAACACATAATGTAAGAAAAGTAACTCATTGCATTTTCGATATGGACGGTCTTCTGTTAGGTAAGTAACTATGTAAATGCGCTCGACCTTTTCGATTGTTGTCAATGTTAATATATTGAAGGTTATATTTACGCTGTATATCAATTTGATTGTATAATCACTTTTATGTTTATAACAAAAATTCAACTTTTTCACAATGTAATTTACAATACAACTTATGTAAAACTTGACAAAACACATCTCATTTCGTTTTGTAGATACAGAGCAAGTGTATAAAAAGATGCTAACTCAGCTTTGTGCGAACTATGGGCACAAATACACAGATGAGCTGATGATGAAGGTGCTCGGTGGAACGGAGCAGAGGTTATCAGAGATTCTATGTAAGGAGCTGAAACTTCCTGTCTCACCTCATGAATTTAGGGATCAGTTGCTGAAGCTTGGAGACACTATGCTAGCTGGAACACCTTTATTAGATGGTAAAACACTTATTTATACTTTATTGACTTTTATCTGGTTTAATTTAAGAATAACTTTTAAGTCCGTTTGAATTATTACTCTTTTTAATATGATGAGTTTTTGGTATGTACAATGTTCTTGTTGCTAGAGAATTTAAATGGATTTCTTTTCTTATTAGCTTTACAAATGAATTATTTGTATCAATTTCCAGGTGCTGAAAGATTAATTCGTCACCTGCACAAAACTCAAGTACCCTTCGCATTAGCAACATCATCAAGTGAACGCTCTGTACAGACAAAGATTGCTAGCTACAAGGAATTGTTTAGTTTATTCAACCATATGGTAATGGGAAGCACTGACAAAGAAGTCAAATTTGGAAAGCCACATCCAGATATATTTCTTGTAGCTGCATCCAGGTTTCCGGACAAACCTGATCCTTTTAAGGTACAAAATCCTGTTTTTATTTATTTAAATAACTATAAGGATTAAGTATAAGGTTTTCAATACTAATATTATAAAGCGGAAAGATTTGTATTTCTGAATTTTTTATGTATTGAAATAACTCAAAAACTAACGGGCCATAATTCTATCACTAATAAAAAGCTACATTACCAATAACAGAGGCTATATTATTTATTATGTCATAGTTTCAAGCAAGTAAACTCGCTAGAAATAGCTAGTCATAAATATTTGTTAAAAAAATTTCAATAGGTTTACTTAATCAACCGGGTAAAATATTAATAAAAGTTGCGAAGATCAATATTACTTATTTTGATAAAGGTGTTCATCTTTGTATTGATAATTTAATATTATTTTGTTGTTTCAGTGCTTAGTATTTGAGGATTCTCCACATGGTGTGACTGCTGGCATTGAGGCAGGCATGCAAGTAGTCATGGTACCCGACCCACATCTCGATAAACAACTAACTAAACATGCTACCATTGTTCTCCCAACATTAGCAAAGTTCCAGCCGGAGATATTTGGCTTACCAGCATTTCAATGACTGTTTTGTAAATTAATGCTTATTGGAACAATTTTTCGAGATAATTGTAAACAGTTTTTAGGTAAGTGGGTTCTGTAGATTTCCAAAAAAAACATATTTTTAATAGAAAGGAATTTTTCCTGATGTTGGTACTGACTAGAGTTACCAATAAAGTTTATGATAAAAGTGGGACTTGTTGCCCAATTTTTTAATAAGTGTTAAGTAGTCATGTAAATATGGCTTTTGATTTCAGGTTATTCTGACACTATGTAGGTTGTAGTTTTTCATATGTTTTATGTCTGAATTTTAAATGACATCTTGTTCATTAACACATTTTATGCTGAAACTAAATTCGCAGGACGAATTGTTGACACCATATTAATACAAAAAAGGGGACAACACTTTTATCTCTATAGGACATCTATGTTCTTTATGTAGTTACTTTTGTATATTGTGAACTGTTTCTCAGTAAACTAGCTTATCCATAGTGTGAAAATGATCTGATATTTGGAAACTAATTTACAATGGTGTTTTTAAATGAAATAATTGGTTTATATTTGCTTAAAAGTATTATTTGTGTAGAATAGTTTTGTAAACAGAAATAGAATTCTGAATGGATAAAAGATAGATTGTATTAGAACATGTTAGTTTTACTGTAGTTTGTTTTGTTGATTGGCTCACCAGTCAACCTAATGAAAACAACCGATTATATTGTTATCTCTTTTACTCTATTTGAATAAATAAGGACAATGATATAAGTCAATGCAATAAAATGTAAAATCATGTAATATGTTAAAATTTTTATACTTTTGTAGGGATATTCTAAATCTTATCACAGTACCAAATAGGGGTGGCATTGATTAAATTTTTTAAGGTCAAAATCATAGAAACTTGATCAAAAGCAATAACTTTTGTCTAAATATGTTTTGTTACTTTAGATTTCATCAATGAATTGTGTTTTGTAAAAAATATATTGTATTTTTAAGTAAATATTTTTTTTATAATTTCAAATATTTTAGCTGATACAATTTGTATAATTGTCCACGTTTGTCGACTTTTCGTAATTGTGTTAAATATTTCTATTTTTTTAAATAGTCAGATTAATTACTAAAACCAAGTGATTTTAATGTTCAATAGTTTTTTTTACTCTTTTGGTTGTGAATACTTTAATCTCATAATAACAAATATGTCAATATATTCATTGCCATTTTTAATATACATAATGCAAAATATCTTTTTTTTAATAATAGACAATTTAATTGCATGTGATAGTATATAGAAAAATGTTTTATATTTGTTATGTTTACATGTGTAGTTTAAAGTGAAAATAAGCATAATAAATTATTTATACAAGCAATGGTGTATTATTGCATCCTTATTAGGATGATGGAAATATACAATTTAAATAAAAGAATTTTTACAGTGGTTCGCTCGGTGTAATACCACCACACAGAAAACAGGCGTGAAGTGGAAGCAATTCCGCGTTTCGTCTGATGAGTGTGGTGCCGGAAGCCTAATTTGAGTCCCTTTCCATTTGCATCCTTTTCTTAAGAGCAAAGGATGGAAAGAAAAGCTGGATTTGACGGTGGAGGAGACGCATGGGATGGGGAAATGTCCACTTTATGTGCGTCTCCTCCGTCAATTAAGGGTAGGCAACGTATCTTTAAATGCGGATGTTTATGGGCAGCGATTAATTTCCCTTTCGGTAGATTCAGGTCGCCGCTTGCTCATTTGCCACATTATATTATAAAAAAAAAGAATGTTAGAGTAACCATAAATTTATAAAAACCTAGTTATTTTGAATATTAATTTGGCCCTTAGTCAAACCATTTACTGTGGTTTCATTAGACACATTTTTTACTATTACTAAAAAAAAATACAAATAAAATCTTATATCACATAGATGTAAAAGTATTCTGTAAATGTAAATACAACCAAGTTTTCTAAATACTATAATATTAAAATAATTAGATTAAAACAAAACAAATCATTTAGCTAATTTTTGCACTTCATTGAGAACATCATCTGCCTTCATATTTGTTAAAGGAGTGCTGCGCTCTTCACCCTTTTCTGGAAATTAAATTATAATATTAGATATTGCAAACAACACAGTGAATACAACATTAAAGGTCTGTCCCACCACTGGCTGAGGCTCAGATAGCTTAAAAATGACGTCACTGTCAGATAAGGTAACAAAATCCGATATTTCCACCACATATTTTACATGTTGGATTGTTACAATTTGGTGGAACAGGCCCGTACATACTAAACAATGCTCAATTCTGACTTTGAAATAGATCTACAAAACTTAAAATGTCACATAAGTACCAACATAAATAATATTTACTGAAGTTACAAGAATATTTAACTCAACCATTTTCTACATACATGGATCATACTTTACTTGTATAAGAAATTTGATATTTTCAATGTAATTTTTAAATAATAAAATACTATTGCATTAAATACTAAATATCAGTCAAATGTCTATTTTAACATGGGTTTAACCGTTTTGAATTATTTTACTAAATATTCAAATAATAATTTTGATTAACCATTCAATTTAAATAATATTATTCAACTTCAGTATGATGCTATAGACTTGTTCACATTTCAAATCTGTTAATGGCTCACAAAGTTCACGTCCTCGCTCTGTGGAAATTGCGAATAAATTAAAAAATTCAAACTTACAAATTACAATACAATGTTTAAGATATTGTTATATTACAAGGATTAAAGAACATGAAAATATATTCACTAATAAAAAAATCACATAAATGACTTAAAGCACATATTTTGGGTTCAGTAACATAACATTCATGAAACATTTTGTTATTAAATGGCTCTGTTCAACGACACTTAAACATATCAATATAAGGTACATTGTTTAATTGTTTTAAGGAAATAATTTCACCTACCGTATCTAGCCCAAATGCGAGGTTGAACTCCTTTGCATTCACGAATCAAAATTGGAAAGTTAGGATTTGTCTTTTTTATGTTCACATAACATTTTTGGATGAATTCCCTGAAACAAAAACTTTTTTAAACGACGATGTTACTCTTTACTCCACCTAGTGTATAATAAAGGGGTTAATGCACAGTCCTTTAAGTAAATGCTAAAACTTCTCATAGTTTCGGCATATATAAAATATATAACCCCTCAGGGTTGTTTATGCTAAGAAAAAAAGGTTAGAAAAGATTTATGTAATCAAATATACCTGACTCCAGCGGACTGCGGGCTTGTCTGACACAAATGAATCCTTAGCTCCTTTAGTCTTCCACCTAGACGCACGGCCGACATTTTTAAAGTATTATTAAGTTACAATTTCCAATATTCTAATTGTATTTAAATATCAATCTATTACGATTTTCTCCAGCTGTCATGAAAATAACTGGAATTGACAATGACAATGACATTGACATTAGCTTTCTTCAGTTGTTTATGTTTTAATTTCTCTTGTCACGTTCTGCCATTGCAGAGAAAAGATTTACTTTTCATACTTATTCATTAATTTTGATGAATCAAATTAATTATGTTGAAACATGATAAAAAAATAATGTTATAATTTTATCAACCAATGTTTATAAAAAATATTAAGAATTTACTTAGTATATTCATGAGCATGGAAATACTGAACGCTGAAGAATATTTCTGTACTTTTTCAAGAACGAGAATACAAGTCGTAGCGTTTTATCTCATGGTTACATTTTATGCAGGGATCCCATCACATCCATTTAAATTACTAACAACTCCCTGATATTCCGATGTGTTGATGCTTTATAATGCAAAGGTATAAAGAAAAAGCTTTGTCGGTGGCGCTGTGGTTCCTGGTTCCCGCCTTATTTTTCTACTTTCATACATGCATATATCCGGAGTTTTGACGAAACACAGCGTAATGCAACTAATACAGATCAGTGTGACTAAAGCCTAGTCACCTAACTCTATCGGTAAGCCACAGTGGGGTTATTTGAGACGACGAGTTAAGGAAAACTTAAGCATAGTAGCAGATACTTCTATGTTTATTGTTTTTAAATGACCATTTTTCAAAACTTGGATATATTTTTTTAAATATGGGATTCACATTATTAGTAAAAGACTAATTTAAAGTAACAATTTAATGTAATTAATTTTCAATACATCAATTTATTTTTGTACATTAAGTCTAAGTACGAATTTATTTTCTATGATCTGTCTTATTTCATCTATAAAAGCAACAGTATTTTTTTTAATTGTTTAAAAATATAAGACACTTTAAGCCAATAGCCAAAACAGATGATAGTTACATTCAGGCACATTTTTACATACTAATAAAATTTGTTCACTTCTAAACTTTAATCGAGATTTTTCATGTTTTTGATTTAAAATACATTTCGAAATTGTTATAATAATCACAGATCACGCTTTCAATAACCATATTATTCTACATGTTTATGTTCCTTTTTAGTGTAAGTTTTAGATAAATTCTTTCATGCATGCTGGTTTCTTGTATGTTTTGTTATTAAAGTTGGTGTACCAAGGAAAGATATTAAATTTAAAAGAAACAAGTAATTTTAATTAATTGATCAATGTTAATATCTTTGCAAATTCAAAATTAGTACCAACAATATATTTATACTTCAAAGATCATATTAAAAAACTTAAATTTTGCTGCTTTGAATATACGAATATTTTTTGATCAGATTGTCCAATACAAACTATGGGTAAATAGGTAAAATTTAACCATCCATTGAATTTAAGTTAGAAACTGACCAGTTCAACTGTCCATTTAGTGCTTTAAGTTTGCAAAAAAATGTCTTTGCTTACAAAGAGCTTTTAAACCAAGTTTTGCAAGCAACTAGTAAAAAGTCCATTCTTGTACAATTTCTTTGTCTTAACATTTCTAATTAATATTTACGTTTATAGGACTTTTATGTTTAAAAGGTGATTTTATTATTAAATAGATTAAATGAACAAAAGTATCAACAATCAATTGTATATTTGCATTAATCAATTGTTAAAATTGGTGTATGTGAAAATCAAAACAGAAAACTATGCTATAATTAGGAAAATTAAAAAAAAAGATATACCATTAACATGTATATACATATTTACATAGTGGTTTGCTTCAATGTGGTTAGAAAACACAAACTATATAATTATTAAATGGTTTCACGCATTAAACAATAAACTTACGTCATTTCAAACAAAAAAAACAGATTTCTGAATTAACTGAGGATACAAATGGATATAACAAAACAGAACAAATAATTCCTCTAAAAAGGTGATTGTAAATTTAACTTTAATTTACTAGATTGCTTAAATTTTTAATAACTTGACAAAATTTTTATGTCCAATAAAATCCATTCTATACCTAACTTACAATTTTTAAACTTTATCACACGGTGACAAAATACGTAAAAACCTATTTATTGCAATGAAAGTTATTTAAAAGGGAGGTAAAATCTACAAGTAACGGACGAATAGAACAAGACTGTATGGGTAATAAATAAAAACACCATTGCAAGCAGTTCCGCATTAAAGTTCCGAGCCTACCGCGTCCACTGCACAATTCAGATTTAGTCAGCTAGAAAATTCGAAGAACAGGACGAAGCGAGATAGATTCATCCGTATTCCACTACACCGGACTTGTACTTGTGTCTGAACACTGGTTATGTTCGCTTCGAGCTGTACAATAGATTTCAGTGTCAGCTAGCCGGACGCTGGCTCTAGGGCTGTGACCCCATCCGCTGTTAAACCTTGCTTTTGACACCATTCTACGAAATCATCGATGAGAACTGGCCAGGCACCTTCCGCATCATAGTTGCTCATTCCGTCATCTATTTGTGTCGCAAAGTCAAGTAGGAGATTCCATGTGTCTTTAGGAATAGACCTTTTATGATGCTCCTGAAATGTAACGTTAATGGTGTTTTATGAAAATTTTAAGGTTTTATATTTAGACTTTTATTTGGCTCATGCATGCATAGAAAATAAATCAAGAGAATTCTCCAGATAGCTATCAGATAGTCCAAAAGTTAACAACGAAATAACTATATTTGATAGAGATTTTTAAATATCTTCTTTATTCAGTAAAATAAGTATTAATAATTATGCAGAACTTTCTTTATCAAATAGAACCACTTAAAGGGAATTTCATAGTTATGTAAGTTAGTATTTCAAATGAATTTGATAGCAAAAATTTATTGTAATAAGCCGATTAGAGGATTTCGCTTAGACACTATTTTTTTCATTAGTACCATGATAATAATCCCTGTAATATTCAAAATTGCTTAAACATTTGTTATAGTATGGTTTAAGTTATTATAAAATTTCTAATAAGATTTGTCAACTTACCGTAAGAAATTTACACCAAGGGTCTAAAAATTTAAACCTCCCACGAAGCACAATATTCCAATAAGCCACAGCCATATCTAGCTCTAATCCTTTCTGACCAGGGTTCTTAGCATAATTAAATGTAAAATGGTAAAAATCTTTGAATTTATTTGGATCTTTGATTTCCAATTCAAGTGTTGGTAATTTAGCTTTTAATTTTTCTATGCTGTCTACGCCCAGCTCTATGAGGCCGGTTGTAAATTCATCTTTAGTGAACTCGCATTGCACTGCCGCTTTACATTTCCATGCTATTATTAAAACTAGTATAGATTCCGGACTAAGGTTTAGGTCTTCTAGGAACTTCATGACACCATCTACAGTTATCTTATCATTTTCCTGCTGATCTCTATACTTATTGAACAGTTGATCAACTCTTTTTCTGTCAACAGCAAATTTGCCAGAGTCTTTGTAATATGCGTCGGGGTTCTGAAAATAGTTGTCACTGGCTAAGTCTAATTTCCAATCGTTTTGCGAAAGGCAATAAATGGCTGTACTCTCACTCGTTTGCGTAAACGCGACGAACTTCCTTACTTTATCTCTCTGTGATGATTTTAATTTATTCTGAAAAGAAAACGGAGTAACGTCATAACCTCAGAATATTGCTAACTGTCAAATGCCTAGCGCCAAAGTTATTATTAAAAATACTATGTTTTGTAACGAGGGAAACAATATTTTACGACTATTGTTACAAACCATTTTCGTAAGATTATTGTTAATTCTATTAATGACTTTCACTAGTTTCACTGTTATTTCGACATTAGAGCTAAAATCACAGATTAAAATAAATAACAATCACAGACAAATTAAATGTTACCATTTATTTGATTGCCGCCAAAAACTATAGATTATAAAATGTGTACCCAGACAAAATAATTTATGATAAGCAATGTTAACATATTGAAAGAACACCCAAGCTTGTAATATCATTGTTTAGAAACGAGTTTTTTTTTAGTCTACAGTTTGAAGTACCTAGCAGTTTAAATTCCAAATGTGAAGCATTTTGTAACTCATTAGAATATTCTAAACTACATAATAACCGTTATTTCTTATGAGTAGGTGTAAAAATTAGGGATGGGAAGATTTCGATTGGTCTTTATTTGTTTATTATTTTATTCACAATAATGTAACAAGGAATGTTTTTTTAAGTTAAGAAAAGGTTTTGTAAAGGGCAACAAATGAGGAATTGTCAAATCATAGAAATAAAAACAGCTGATTATGACGGAACGAAAAAGAAAGAAAAATATTATGAAACATTCATAATATAAAGGTGATTTTTTCGTAAATAAAATTAAGTGCAACTAAAGAAAAGTATGCCGAACGTTAAAATGGTGAACGTTGTTGTGAAGAGTTTATTTATACCTTCGTATAACTTATATCGGACATTGAAAACTGTTTGCCCGCGAGTTAGATTTGCGCCTAGTCCCACAGGTTATTTACATTTAGGTGGTTTAAGGACCGCTCTTTATAATTATTTATTTGCGAAATCACGCGGCGGTATATTTATTTTACGGATAGAAGATACAGATCAAACTAGAAAAGTGCCGGGTTCGGTAAATGCTCTTGTAAAGGATTTAAATTGGGCAGGCGTTGAATATGATGAAGGACCGGAGAAAGACAGTCAATATGGACCATATATTCAAAGTGAACGATTGAACATATATAAGTATGTTATTATATAGATTTATTAAATTTCCCTTTTTGATATTACTGTTTAAAATCATATGTTTTACCTTTCTTTCAGAGACCATATAACTAAATTACTTGACAATGGATCAGCATACCATTGCTTCTGTACAGAAAGGAGACTTAATATATTGAGGAGAGATGCTGTTAAGTTGCAAAGAGTGCCTAAGTATGACAATCGGTGCAGGCATCTAACACGGGAAGAGGTCAAGGAAAAGTTGAAGTCGGGAATCCCTTATTGTATTAGATTTAAGGTAAAATAACTCTTGTAATAGTAAGAGTTCAGGCTGTTTTCTTTAATTTCAAAGAGGCACATAATACCTTAATCTGTTAAGAGTTAACTATACAAGTTTTGTAATTACAGCTTACTTCAGATGTCCAGTATTACGAAGATATGGTGTTTGGTAACATAGCTTATGATGTATCTCTTAATGAAGGCGATCCAGTACTCATAAAAGGAGATGGATACCCAACATATCATTTTGCGAATGTTGTCGATGACCACCTTATGGGTATTACTCATGTATTACGCGGAGTGGAGTGGCAGATATCTACAACGAAACATTTATTGATCTACAGGTAAGAGTTACCATAACTGAAAAAGCTGTTAAAAACATAGTTGTTTATTGTCAAAAATAATAATGGAACCGGAAAGTTTGATTTAACAATTTCAATTTCATTTTGTGTAAATAAATTAGTTTTGCTCTCTACTTTATTTGTGATGAATTGATAAGAATTAACAAGTCTTTGTTGTAAATCTGAGCCAAACAAATCAATATTTATTGAATTGTTTTGGACACATGTTAACAAACATTCAACAAACCAGTGCGACCTTCAATGTTAAGCTGGAGGCCACATCAGCTGAGCATTATTTTGGCAGAGAAGGGTTTTTACTTTTTTTAATTTATTAATTAGTTCTGTAAATTTCGTTTTTATGAGTTTGGTTTTTTTGGCCAATAACTTTTTTTTACTTTATTAATTAGTTCTGTAAATTTTGATTTTATGAGTTTTTGTTTTAGCTTTTTTTGGCCAATAATAGTGTTTTTTTACTTTATTTCTTCAACCAAACTTTCGCATACTAGTATGATATACAGTTTTTCTTCACATTTGAAATGTGGGTTTGCGTTTTATCTACTTTTAGAGCTTTCGGGTGGATACCACCAGAATTCGGTCACTTACCACTGATCGTGAATTCAGATGGTACAAAACTAAGCAAAAGACAGAGTGACGTCAAAGTGGAAGATTATAGGAGGAATGGTAAGTAAACCTATAGTGGGCACTTAAACGGTACAGCGCCATCTAGTGATGAGTTATAAAACTATATTTTATTAGCAATTTGCTTTATAACACACAAACACTAGCTGTTGTCCGCGACATCGTCTACGTTGAATTAAAAAACAATATAAAGTATAGCTTACATTACTCACAGATAAATTACTTTTCTAATGGTGAAAGATTTTTTAAAATCCATCCAGTTGTTTTTGCGTTAATCATAGTAAAATCCTAAAATATAAATCTTTACTCTTTGTAATATTAGTAAAGACTAGCTGGTGGTCGTGACTTTGTCCATATGAAATAAAAAATTAGTAAAAATCATAGCCTATGTTTCAATGATGAAAGATTTTGGTATCATTGACATATATTGTCATCTCTACATTTTCAAAGGGAACGAAAGAGACGGCATGTACAGTAAACACTTGTGTGCAATTTGCAGGTATTCTTCCGTTAGCTTTAGTGAATTACATAACATTATCTGGCGGCGGCTTCGAGCATGTCGTCGGCGAAGGAATTCGCCTGAAGACAATGGAGGAATTAACTCAAGAGGTAAATTCATAAAGCAATAGTTTTTATGTAACTGGGTATAGTTCAACACAAATTTTATGACGGCTTTACAATTTATTTACACCGTAAATGAAATAGTGTGAAAACATATAACATGAATGTAAGTGTAGGGCTTTTTAGTAATAGATTTATTCAAGAATATTCTGTGATTGCTGCCTGCTTACATAATTAAGAAGTGTGTGTTTACGCTTTATTATATTAGTTACTACATGTTGCACGTGTCGTAACCCTCTAAAAATAAATAAAAACATAGCCTATGTCACTCATTGATAACCTAATTTTTTAATGGTGAAAGATTTTTTGAGTTAGAGCCAGTAGTTTTTGAGTTATCTTAATACATAGAAAAATAACGAACCTTTCTTTAGAATATTATTATTTTTATATATTATTATTATGTTTTTTTTTTGTTGATTAGAATTAAGTTTTTTCAATGATAAAATCCTAGTTCCAGATAAACAGGATCTCGTCACATCCTAGTCGTTTAAATCCAGATTTACTAGAGGAATGCAATCGATTGGAGATAAAACGGCAACTCCAAGACGTCACACTATCAGAACAACTGGTCGATAATTTGCAAGAATTAATAAAAACCACTTATCCAGAACACAATTTAAATGTTTCCAAAGAACATGTAAAGAATATATTAAATTGGGCCACATCTAGAATAACAAGAATAGAAGAATTAGTTTCGACAAAATTCGCATTCATGTGGATTCTCCCGACCATAGACAAGATGGACATAGACAATCAATTATTGGAGAAGTTAGTTCAGAATTTGGAGAAAATAGAAATCTTTGAAGAAGACTCCCTCAAGAATAATTTACGAAATTTCTCAGAAGAGAATAAAGTTAAATTTCCGGCGCTGATGAAAATGCTGAGATCAGTTCTCAGTGGGTTAAAGGAAGGTCCAGGGGTCGCGGAAATGATGCATTTATTAGGGAAAAATCAATCTTTAGAAAGAATAAAAGCTGTTATACGATAAGCTTATCTTTTTTTATTTTTTTCCCTAAACCATTAGAAAAGCACGGATTTTTCATTATTTTTCCGGAATATCTTTAAGTCTCGAAGTAAACATAAACAATAAGTTGAAAGGTGGATGGGGGTTATGACCCCCATGAGCTGGTCAAGTCAAGTCAAGACCTTGACAAAATATGTAAATATATTTTGTCAAACTCTTGACCTGACTACGACTATGTGACCCCCCCCCCCCACTGGCGTCGCTATAAGTTTCGTGTTAAAGAAAAATGTATACTTTAACTTGCTTTATTCAGTAAAATGCTCTGATGGAAAGTTTAATTCTTAAAACAGACTTAGAAAGAGTGTAATGTTAACCAGAATGACAAATAGTACGAAAGTCTCGAAGTACAGTCATAGAGACAATGTTCAAAACAGACTTTAAAACTATAAACGGAGCGTGATACGGCTGTCAGTGGCCGCAGTTAGACGCAGAGACATCTGCCGAGTCATTCTGACCGTAGATTATTTGCAGTAATTCCTATATAGTAAATTGCTTTTCTTTCTCTTTAATCTTTCTTATTAACATAAATATGAAAATTTAGATAGATGGATGTATATCTTCAAAACGGCTTAACGAATCTTTCTGAAAGGCAGGGATGTCTGGATGAACACATTGGCTATTAACTTTATAGTTACATACCAGGCGTAGCGAACATTTATGCATCAAAGTCCCATTTTTCAAGAAATGTTGAATGCGGTCTTAAATGTGCCATCAAAATTTTGACTGCGATTATTATGTCAATACCATGTTGCACCTACTTCATACTTCATTTGTAGTGTTTTTATGATTAGCGACGTGCCCAAAATAATATGTTTTGTGCCATTTATGGCACTGTGCCAGTGGTTCGCCACCCCTGTCATGTACGTTTATCAGTTCAAGGCGTACTAGCTATTCAAAATTATTTCATAGTAGTAGCAGTAGGGGCTACGGTTTCCGCAACTCCACGACTGGCGCGTATTTTGCGTAAGAATACTCCAGCCAACCCAGCTCTCCGAAGAACACCAGCAAACCCTTTATATTGCTGGTGATCTCGATCTGGAATCGTTTCATAATCGTGTGATAAAGTGATGAAGTTCACTTAGAAGAGGCGACTGTACCTACCATAGATAATTATATTCAAAACCCGTGGTATTTCACTTAACTCCATCGACAAATTGCTTTGTTGTTTAAAGTTAGAACAGTTTTAATGGGGTCGTTAAATTGACAAGCCGAGAGATAACGAGGGACGCTCCGCGCTACAATCCTTGTTTATTAAATTCTTAGAACCATTTAAATGTTTTCTATATACTCTTAGAGCTTATTTTTATTCTAATTTCAAATTTTTTTCATTAAAAATCCTATCGTAGATATCGTCTTAAAGGAATTCTAAAATAGACAACCGGCCGTATATGCACAAAAATAAATTTAAAACAAAATAACACGAGACGTTCAAGCAAACATTCGATAAACAGAAATTCCTATTTTAGCGGTAAGAATTCAAGATTCCGTTCAAGACCGATGCGATGCGATATGCATTCATTCATTGAATCGTTCATTCATTCAGCTGCGGCAATATTCGAATTCACTACGAATTTCCAGGCATCTGATTGGACCGTAGGCAGGTGGTTAGGTTCGAATTCAATTTTCTAGCACTTTGTCTTTGAAATCAATATCAGGGTGGCTATGTATCAATAAAATTGCGGATATTTTACAAATAATTCATGTAAATATTTTAGATTGGTTTCATATTTCTTTCGAGCGCAATATTGGTTTTTCATGTTCAAATTTTAAAAGTAAAAATAAATAGAAACTAGCTGTTCCCATGCGGCTTCATCCGCATGTAATTATGAAAATTTTATGTTACTGTATACATTTGTCAAATTATCAATAGCAAATGTCAAAATGACACGGCCAACCTTAGCAATCTTGCTTCCTTGCTGTTGGCAGCAACTTATGTTTTCTTTCCTACTTTAGGGTTTTTATCCAAAACATTTACCCCCTAAGTTTAATGGCGTGAAAATATATAGCCTAAAGCGTGACGTAAGTGTATGGCTTTTCATTAAAGAAAGAATTATTAAAAAATATGCTGTAATTGCTGACAGCTTAGGCAACAAAGAAGTGTGTGTTTACGCTTTATTATAATAGTATAGATATGCAAAAGTTATGAAAAGACGAAGGGGTCTCCCTTGTGATATGTTCTGTTATAGACAGAGCCGTGGGCACTCGAGCACGTGAGAGGTTGGTTATTTGCAAAGTCGTTCGATACCCAGCGGCGGGCAACAACACGTGACTACAGGAACTATTAAAGTTAACTCATGTGGAATTTCTTTGAAAACTACGTCTTTAATAAAATAATATTCTAAGTATAAATCCCTGATGTTAATACATTTATTTGGATTATTTTTAATACGAATTATGTTACTGACCAGGGCCGGTTTTACTACCGGCGCCCTGGGCGAAATATCTATGGATTTCCCTAACTGCAATACAAACATATAAAACCGCTAGTGTCTTTGACATGTTTTAATATTGTCCTAAATAATATTATTAATATGGTAACACTATCGCTCTACTTGCATAGTGCAGGCTAATGCAAATTTTCTAGGCGAGGGATCAGTGCCACTCTGCGGCGTCGTCACGTGAAAAATGAACGTCACAAAGAAATGGGACGCGCGGCCTCTGCGGGAAAAAACCTTAATCTGCTCGTTACGGCTCTTTGAGGCTTTATAAGATTGATTAAGATTGCTACCTCCTTTCTGTATACCTTATCTAATCCAAGTTTTTAACTTTAGGTGCACTTTATACGAGTATCATAATTAAAAGGCTTGTGTCGACAAAAATCTTAAATTCTAACTTCAAAATGTACTTGACATTTGCAAAATCAATTTCACCGTTCTTAAAATAATTATTTTTAGTGTATAGAGCTATAAAAAAAACTCTTTTTCACTTCTATCCCGTCTAGGGACAAATTCGAAAACTCCCGACAAAAGGAACGAAATTTCTTGCTTCTTTATACCCGACCCTATCATTATAGCCGTTGTCAGTTCGTTTGCGTTTTAGGGAAAATAATTGGATTCTATTTAATCTTTTTTTGATAATAAAAAGGGACCAAATAATGCGGTTACGAGGAAATACGATATGTTGTATCATTAAGAACTCTGGTATTGAAATAAATATGAGAGGTTATTTCATATATTTTTTTATAAATTTGCCGAAAGCGTATCCGAACACATTTTCTTATAGTTATAGCTGTTGACTTTTATCAAACTATAGTTTCTTATAGTTTCATAAAAGTCAACAGCATAAAAACACAAAGTAATGCCATTTTTAAAGATGATTTGACATTTAATGATTGAGGAATAATCTTAAACTAATAAGTATTATTATATTTTGCATATAGTATTATATTAGTAATTGCGTTTAAAGTAAACAATTTTCAACTAATTTACAACATAAAGGCAGTACTGAGTCAACTCTTGCTGGAGTTAAACTACCAAGTTAGATACTAACTCACTGTTGGGAGATTTATTGATCAAGGTTGTTTCCTTGGAATTAGCAACATAAGTCAAACATTAATAGACAATATTCCCATACATTTTAAAGTATTATAAATATAATTGAAAGCTTCAAACTCTGTCCCTTTCTAATTTACTCTTAAAAACAAAGATAGATTACATTTTATAACATTTATGTAATAGCTCGTCGCGGCCTCAAGGGTCTCAATGGGAGATTCACTTGTATTCCAATTCGTATTTAACGTTCAAGCTTTTATGTGGGCAATTTCGTAATTGATTTTCTCAGTGGTGTATCATATACGTTGTTATTGTTTTGTTTTAGACGTTTCTGTCTACAATTTATTTAAACTGTACTAACATTTCGTGAAATCGTTTCTTTATATTCCTAATAAAATTAATCGATTAGTAATTGTAAGAATTGTCACGAAAGTTGTAATAAATGTATGTAATTAGGGGACACGCAAGAAAGGAGGGCAATTACCCCGCGCGTGACGTATGAGACGCGAACCGTGCGCCGACTAATGGATTGCGTCCGGACACCAAAATATAATCCACTAGCCAATTTACTACTCCCCTCTTTTTTGCCCAATAAATAAAAGGGCAGTAAATACACTATTTTACTAAAAACTTCGTTCGCTAAGGTTTTAACCTTGGATGTACATTCCAGTGGCATTTTCCGCTCTTTATGTATAGGATATTTATAAAAAAACAACATAAATCAACTAAATAATGATATAATATGAAACTTTTAAAAGCATCAAGTTACTATTAAGTTAAAAAAGCTATAAAACCGTATCAGTATTTTCTACATCAGATAAATGAATAGCGATTCGTATTCTGTCGGAAAGTGGCAATTAATCCCAGTTCCTCGTGACATAGTAAGTATATACTTGGAGGTCAAACGTACAGAACGCACATTATTCAGGAATGACCCACGAAAAAGGTCAGTGGACCCCATAAAGAAGAGTTCCGATACTTTTTTTATGTTTATAGGGAATTTTTAGCTTAGGAGATACGAGTTAGTAATTTTTATACTGCAAATAATCAATTTCATTCAAAATATAATATGCATTAAAGATTTAAACGCCAACTGATAATTAAATTGATTAAAGGTCTGTCCCACCAAATTATAGATTGTCTGAACAATCCAACGTGTAAGATATTTGATGGAAATATCGGATTTTGTTCCCTTAACTGACAGTGATGTAATTTTTAAGCTATCTGAACCTCTAACAGCCAGTGGTGGGACAGGGCCTAAAAACTATTTAATAACTTGTACTTTAATGTACGAGAATATGGAACATTTTGGTGAAAAATGTATATAAAAGTAACTTACATTACCCCTAATAATACTTAAGTTGATTTTGTAAACCTTACCCTGATTGTAAGGGTTTTGTAATATTAGATTACTTATGTTAAGAAGGTTAACCAATTGTTGTCAACCCTTGAACCTTGTACGTAGCGGATGTC